CGTGTTTCTCTATCCAATCCCCTCTTTCTCTGAATCTATTTTTCTTTCCAAGTCTCCACACCCATTCTCTCTCTTTCTCCCTCTTTCTGTCTCTCACCCTCTCTCCATCTTTTTCTTATGTTAAAACCATAATTAAAATCTATTTGTATAAATTCTTACTGTGTTACATTTGTTGGAATTTTTAGCCTCCATTTGATATGTTGGTTACTTAGTTGATTACGTTTTCACGATGCTTATCTTCCACTGTCTTATGTCACACAAGAATTAAAATCTTTTAAACTCAAGGTAAAAAATATTCAAAGTCAACGGATAAAAGTATGAGAGAGAATGAGGGAGAGGCAGGATTCAGTATCATTGTTATCAATAATATGTGTATATTCTATATCATTGTTGATTTGATAACTTTTATTGCCATTGTAACAACAGATAGATAGTCTAAAACCATTATATAATTTCTTAACATTATAATTTCTTATCATTATATTATCTTCGTTTTTACTTTTGTTTTTTCACGATCATTATCATGATCAACTTTGTGATTTCCTTGTCAGTATCAACATCATCACCATCGCTACATATATATATTTTTTATCATTAGTTGTAGTATTAGTGGCATTTGTTTATCGTCATAACAGTCATAGTCGTTATAAAACACATAGGGGAAAAATAACCTAATCCGAGAAAGCTTCCAGTATCACCTTTATACAAACTTGCGGGACGAACAGAGGAAAATAGATGAATAAACAAAGAAGCAAACAAACTTATACGATATATATAAACAACCCCTCACCTTCAAAAAAAGCCTTGTGTTTAAAGGCCGTACTATAAAAAAAAAAAAAAAAAGTCAGGCAATGCGTTGCCAGCAGCTAAAGGGTCGAATTTTCGTACCACAAAACACCACTTTCAGCTTCGCCAGGCTTTAGCGGGAGAAAAAAGTATTGGAACATCGCCCGACTATGAAAGCCAGCTATACCCCTCTCTTTCATCGCCACTTTCGTAAATATTTCTCAATAAAGTTACTGAATAATTTTAATTAACTTATAACAACTAAAAATTTACGTGTTATCTCGTATATTTGGTGTGTTGCATTAGGAGTTATCAAGCGAGAGTAGCGACCGTCCGAAGCAGCCCGAGTGGAAAAGCCTAGGTGAAGAAATATAATCAAGACTCGCCTAACGTATGTGAGACAGCATAGGAATAAAACTACCATGCCACGTTCGCGCTACTCAGCAAAATACTTGACTTCTGTGCAGAATATATGCGACACCCTCTTGCCGAGGGATTCAAATCGGGGTGAGAAGATTGCCGAGCTCGCCACGGGGCATTAGTCCTCAAGCAGGAGCATGATAGACTCAGGCAACCCCCGTCGGCCTAAGTGCGCAGCGAACCCAGCTTTAGCCCATAGCGCGCGGGAACCCAAACAGAACTGTTGGCCATTCGGTTAGCTCAGTGAGCCTCCCCACCACAACATCCTTGCGTACTGCTCCGAACGCCTTGCGTATTAAATGCACTGTTCGTAAAAGTGTAATCTGAGTCTCCTCTATCTCGGTGCATCTATTCTCTTCATTGCGTGACACTTTCTCTTAACCAACAGAGAAACTACTGTATTCTTATCAACCAGAGTGTCTGCGACTTCCCCTCCTGCAGCGCTAACCTTACATACACGATGGAAGCGGATGACCTGTTACGTGTTATGGCCCGGTCTGGTGGAGGGTAGGGGTAAAAATGATCGATAGGCGCACCATATTGCAGGGTAGGAAAAGGTAACGAGGGGAGGACTGCAGGTGTGATCCATGAAGCGTGGACGCAGACTCAAGTGCCCAGCGTGCCAAGGGGCGAGAGCACATGTTGGTGAAATCAGTTAACGTGTGTAGTTAGACGAGTGTTCCTTGTTTGTAGTTGACAAGAGTTCTGGGAAGGGTTGTTTACAGTGGCTACTAGATGGCCCAGTTAGTACCCTCATGTTTTGTTATCCAAGCCTATTGCGGTCGAAATTCCTAATCTGCAGGCACAGAAAGTCGGTCACATAGGGGGCCAGGGAAGGGGGCCACCGGTGAGACGATCAGGTATCGGCGAGGATAAAGGCACCGAACTCAGGAAGGAGTTACAATAAGACTGTGTTTCCAGAGGGGCAGCAGTGTAGAAGATTTCCGAGGTCGTGCTGGCACTGTCGCTCAGGCCGCCTCCCATATGGACCCAATCCTCCCGCCTCGCCACGTGTACGGTAAAGTGTCATTTTGTACTCATGCAAGCGTTAGGTCAGTTGTGCTGAAATAGGCTACGGGCACGCTCGGGTAGGGAGCGTGATTTCGACTATGTACTCAGGCTCGGAGGGGTTACGGGCGTCTGAGAGGCCTCCGAATATGGTGGATGGAACACTCGGGGCGTGGGTAATCGTGAAGCGCAAGGTCCGCGGGGGGGGCTGAGTTCCCGATAGTGAGAAAGATGTCGCTCTCGACTTCGAAGGAACGACTGAGTCGTGCGTGCGAAGTCCGTGGATACCATGGGCGAGGTCTCTATCTCTATAGATTAGTTCCAGCTGTTCTACCGATCCCTTAAATTTGTTATTTCCTCCCTTGGAAATGTTTTTCTTCTCTCTCCTCCTCTCTGTATATACCTCCTTCGTTCCTGCTCCTCTCATCTTTTTTCCTTACTTCCCCAATCTTCCTCTACTCATCACGCACACCACAAATCACACAATCTATGTCTATTTGTCTTTCTATCTCTTCCATTTCTCTCTCTCCATTTTCTTTCTCTCCTATTAGCCCTCTCTTTACTCCCTTAACCTCCCTTTCCTCAAACTCCCCTTTTCCTCCCTCTTTCATCCCTTTTCCTCCCTCTTCTTCAAACCTCTTTTCGTCCCTCTCCCTCCCCCCATTCTCCTAGGATGGCGACACCTAGGTCCTTCTCCTGGCCTTGCGTTAATCAAATTCCTTTTGGTGCTTTCATACTCGGCGATCCTCATCTATGCCCTGGTCTCGTGCCGCTCTCTTCTACCTCATCCTCGGCCTTTTCCCTATCAACACATCTCTCCTCACCATCTTCCTCTCCGGCGCCCTCCGCTCTTGCACTACATCGTGCCTCTCTATCGTATCATTAACCTCCTTCTCTCCTCTCCGCGTGCCTTCGCTCACATCTTCTTCCATCCCTGCACTCTTCACTCTCATCCACTTCATTATTCACCCTTCTCCTTTTCCACTTCCCTCTCACTATATACCAATCACCCTTCTTCCTTTCGCGTGCTCCCCATCCCTCTCACACCTCTCTCATATACTAATCTCTTTGACTTTTTCTCCTCAATTACATGCATTCCTTTCGCTCCCCTCTCGAACGACAATCACTCCTCTCCTCCCCCAACACACCCCCGACACTCCCTACCGTGCTATCCCCAAGACACTGCGTTGCGCGGGGCGAGTCGGGGGACTCCTCTCTGTGATAAACGGGCTAGCAAGATAACTATTCGAAACATCTATTACTGTTCTGAGTTCGTCGTCGGTTCCCCGAAAGTGACGATCCGGCGCGTCCTTCCGAGGCCGGTCACGCTGGATGCTGTATAAGAGAATAGTGAACTCGTTTGTATAAACTTTCTCGCCGCAACGTGCCTATTAACACTCATTTACACTCCTAAACTCTCTTTACTTTGGTGATTCTCTGTACGGAGCGAGGGCGTCTGCTCTCCTCGGGGAGAGCAGGCCGCACCTCCGCCAGCTTTCGCAGTACCTACCGGTTACATCTCTCCATCCCGCGAAACAATGACATTACCATCCAATCCTGATTTCATGTCATAGGCACACACTCGTGTGAACTATTGTATCCACTCGCAGCTCATGTCCTCCTCCTGAAGTCTATAACGCTTCCGCCGCCATGACTTCCTCCACGTCCGTGTTCTCCTGCCGCACGCTCTGTCTATCCTCCTGCCTGATCATCCGACCGCAGGCTTCCTCCTCGGTCTCCCTCGCCGTCAGCTTCCTCCTCCTCCTCCATCTCCTCCTAAAAACCTTCCTCCGCCCTATCAGTTCTCCAATCTCATCGTACGTATCTTCCTCCTCCGTCCTCTTCCATCTCCTCCTCCTCCTGCCACCTCCATCTCGTCCTCGCGTTAACTCACCATCTCCCGTCATCCATTAGGCTACCTTCGTGCCCCACCTCTTTACCATCACATCACACCCTCTCTGTGCTATACCTGCTGACCGTTACTCGCGTGTGCGCCATACCTCCGAACTTTTCCGCCAACTATGAGCGAACTCCGCCTCATTCTCTAGCACATCTACCATATAAGTACACTCCCCTATATGCCACCCCCACAGTAGAGAGTAGCATGTCGTGCATCTCTATACGTAAACCTAGCTCTTTCTATTCTATCAGTAATCAGATCTCTTCATCTCCCACACAACTCCAACACATTTCTGAACGTTACAGCTATTCCACCTATGTGCACATCAATATTTTCGCGTCTTTGCCAAACATAGCTTTTGCTTCACCAGATATTGCATTTCTCACTTTTCCATATCTCTAATTCCACCTCCCTCAGCATCATCAACATACCACATATTCGTACACACCATACAGCCCATCCCACCATCTTCTCTACGAAAATCACGTCTCTCTTGGTAGCTGTTAATTCACTACGTCCGACGACTGGCCTATGCCTCACCTCCACCTCCGCGACTCTCGACCTTCACCTCATCCACGAACATGCAAAAATATGAACATTCTTAACCGATCAACATTTTTTAATTTACTTGATATGGCAGAATTTGTCCAAAATTAAATAGTTATTATATTGCTAACCCATTATTTTCCGAACACATTTTATGCCCTTTCCAAGTACTCTAACCTAGCTCTCATTTCAAAGTCAGATACCATAGTGAAAATACATTAGTCTTGTAAAACTCCCAAGGATTTTGATAAATATAATTTGTTTCAGAAATGTCTGCAGTATTCGATGAATTAGAGTGTCTTGAAGCCCTTGAAGACCTAGATGCTGCAGACAACAGGATATTCCCAGAAGGTGCATCACTGACAGGATGAATCTTTTGCATTCTCTGCATGATGAGTTCATCAAAAGATTTCGCTTATCAAAAACAACAGCACTCAATTTACTAGACAAGCTACAGATTCAAGAAACTCGAGATGGGAGGTAATATTGACTTTAATTGAGCCAGTTGAATTATTTTATGTTAGCAGCATTATAACGTTTGCTTGTATTGTTATAAATGCAGTTGTAAGTTTTTTTTTTTTAGAAAATCCAAATGAAATTTCTAAAATATTGACACAAATACATAGATAAGTAAGAAGTTATTAAGTATGTCTTTTGATAAATAAAACATTTTTAGTGTAATCATGATACTATATCCATGTTGATATTTTGTAAATAAATAATTATCTGCTGATGTAGTTATTAAAATGTTCTAAATATGTATGTTTTTTAACAAGGGTTATATTTAGAGAATAGTGATTTATTCTGAACGTCAAAATCTAAAATATGTTGTATTTCCTTTCAGGATCACCAGTACCACCCCGCCTACAACTGTTAATTACATTGCGATGGATGGCCACTGGTAGCTTCCAGTTGACTATTGCTGACACTTTTGACGTTTCACAACAACTTGTGAGCAAGTGCACAGCCAAAATAGTCCGAGCCATAGCATTTCTGCTACAAGATTATGTGAAACGACCATCGAGAGAACATTTTTCTAACATCAGGAATTATTATTTTGAAATGTCTGGTTTTCCTGGGGTATTGGGTGCAGTTGACTGCACACATATTCATAGTCCTGGAGGTGCTAGAGCAGAAGAGTTCAGGTGTAGAAAGGGATTTTTGACTTTGTGTGCCGTTGGCCTGGTTCTGTTCATGACAGCCGAATATTTAATAATAGCAGATTATTTTTTGATCTTCAACATGATCTGCTAGAAGGGCATCACTTATTAGGTGACTCAGCCTATCCACTGCTACCATTCCTCCTCACCCCAGTGGCAAATCCTGTTGGCCAAAGAGAATTCAGATGCAATATATCACATTCCAAAGCACGAAATACCATTGAAAGAGCATTTGGTGTTCTGAAAATGAGATTCAGGTACCTCACCATTCCATTGAAAATTAATTTAACAACAGTCATGGCGACTATTTGCAGTGCAGCTGTGTTGCATAATATGGCTGTTAAGTATAAAGAAGATCTGTACATGTGTAATGATGATGGAGAGGAAGAAAGTGTAAATATTGAAGAAAATATAGAACAATTTGTAAATGCTGCCGGTCGACAGAAAAGAAATAATATCATTAATGAATATTTTTCTTAAATGTTTCATGCTAAAATGCCATTTTTTGTTGATATTTTTCTGTTTTGCTTAAATTAAGCATATGACAGTCATGACAGCCTCATTCACAAAAATACTATTTACGCTATGTTTACTTCGATTGGTTGCCATAAGTACAAAAGTGGGATCCAGCAAGTGTACTGAAATATAATTCCGTAACTGTACATAGTTATGTATA